CCCCCAAAAAAAAAAAAAACAGAAAGTCTTAAAACAAATCATTTTAGATTTATCCTGGTACCTTGGACTTTGCTTTTACTTGTATACATAAATCAATAAAAACACTGAAAATATTTCTTTATTCATATAAGTGTATTGTGTGTAAAACCTAGCAAGTGATTATTTACATATTGAGATTCTTCGCTTTTTTTTTCAATTGTCGGCATTTGCAGGAATTGTACAATTTAGGTGCAAGGAAATTTGCTATTTTAAACATAGGGCCAAGAGGTTGCCAACCAGCCGCAAGACAAAGCAAAGAACTCCGTGGTGATGAATGTGATGAAGTATCATTAGAGATGATAAAGAAGCATAACATTGCTGCATCTAAAGCCATCAAGGAATTGGAAAGCAAACTATCAGGATTCAAATACTCAATTGTAGACTTCTATACCATCCTTTTGGACATGATAAAGCACCCAAAGGATTACGGTAAGCACATAGATTTTGATAATATTAGGGTTTCAGTGAGGAAGCAAGCAAGCCACACATTGTTTTCTACTCTTTATCTTTTGGTAATGCTCAAGTGTTACAATGCCACATCATGAGACACATCAATAGGTTTACATTGATTACTCTCTTTTAAGCATGGTTAAATGACTCAACCCATTTCTAACCTGATCCAGGCTTAAGTCATGGATTAGACGATTGGACTGTTAGATTAACATTGATTTTGAAATTTCATTTTCTAAAAAATATAAAACAAAATTGTTTTTTTAACTCTAAAATGGGGTTATTTTAATAAAAAAAATGGTTTGACGTGAAACATGGTTCAAGTTAGCTAAATGAATCATTAAATTGACTAATCAAACAAGGTTTTAAGCGGTCTGTATAGACAACAATAACCATATCATCAGATTGTAGATGTAAGCAGGTTGACAAGTTAATAGCTCGGTGTTTTCCACATCAAGATATATGTTAAAATTGATTTATTGATTGTAATAGTGTCGATAGATTGATCTATTGTTTGGCATATTAACATGTTATATATCAATGCTCTTCCTAATCATTCATTTTCGTTCGTGTTGGGAAGGCTTCAAGGAATCAAGATATTCTTGTTGTGGCTATGGAATGTATAACGCAGCACATTGTGGAATAAAGCCATATACACTATGCAAAAATCCAAGTGAGTATCTATTCTTTGATGGATGGCATCCAACTGAGCATGGTTATCGGATTCTGGCTGATCTGTTTTGGAATGGCAAACCAAGTATCGCAGCCCCATATAACTTAAGACAACTATTTGATCTCGAATCTACACCCATCATTTTATCAGAAGAATATGAAGTTCCCCATTATGAATAATTTTCCTTCTGTTACTTTGTAACTTAAATGTATTAAGACATTGGCAAGGTCCTCTTGCTCTTCTCTCGTAGCTATGTCCTTAACTAGGACAGCTATTTGTCAGCAATGTGTTTGATCTTAAGTGTTCTATCCTATTATTAGTGGAAATTGGAAAATGTCTCAAAATGAAGCAAAATCCTTGTATTTATAGTCAAGCCATTCTCCATGTTACACTGAACCAGTTTTGCTTTTCCTTCCACTGTCTCATCTTCTTCTATTTTTATTTTTTAAAAATATATTGAAAAGGCCATAAAACCAATAATTAATAGCCTAAATAAAATGCAAGGATATATATATAAAAAATAGACTTAGAAAAAAAAGGAAAAAAAAATTGATCTACTACAACAAACAATAAAGAGACTACTTAAGATTTCTTATTACACCACAATTTGATGCCTTCAGAAGATCTTAAAAGGTCATTTCCTGTATAAGTGAAGTTTAAATCCATAGTATGCAACCAAATAGTAACCCGATGAAGGATGATGGAGAAACAATCAAATAAGCTTATAGTTCCTTGTTTAGCCATGCAATCTGCCATGCAATTACTTTCACGAAAGTTACGAAAGAAGGTGATTGAACCAAAATATGCTTTCAGTTTATTAACAAAGGAGAACAAATCATGATGCTTCCAGGGACTGCTGTGAGGCTTAGTCATCCAGGTAATAACATTGACAGAGTCAGATTCTATGATGAGGTGTTGATGGTGGAAGAGATAATTAGATGCTGATAGTTCAATGGCTTTGACAATAGCCCTTAACTCAGCAATATTAGAGTCTAAAATACCAACTAGAATAGAGAACATACCGAGAAGATGGCCATGGTGATTTCGCAGCACACCACTTATTCCAGAGAGGCCTGGCTTACTAAGAGAGGAACCATCCACGTTCCATTTGAGGCTATTAATCATAGGAGGAGACCACATATTATTAATCCTGGAAGAGTGAGCATTGGACCACCGAAGCAAGCCATCTGCTGATCTGATCAGATCTGTAGGAGAGTATGGAAAATTAGAATGGATAGTGACACGACTAAAAGATTAATGTCTTCTCCTAAGTGCAGGAGTGTCGAAGTAATAAATAACTCGGCAAGACCGGGGTCGAACCACAAGGAGGTTAATTGTACAAATTATAAACAACAATAATAACAACAACAACAACAATAATAATAGTAATAACAACAACAACAACAATAACAACAATAATAATAGTAATAATAAAGAAAAGGAAGGAGAAGAAGAAGAAGAAGAAGAAGATGAGAACTTTGAGATGGAATATTAATGTAACGATTAAACAATGATAATAACAAATGTCAAGGTTAAAGGATCCACTAATGGTATGTCAAACAAGTATAGTATAAACTCCTATTATTCAATTGGAAACCATACACAAAGGAGGTTCCAATCAGATTATATATTGTTAACATGATTACATTACTCATCTTATTCGATTAATGCTAATACTTGTAAATCTCGTCAAGCATTCATGATTATAACTTATGTTAATAACAAATCAAGTTCCTTTCATAGCTCAGGTGTCGGTTATACCATACAGTATGGGCTATGAAAGTGCCAAGCATTTGTTGTACCAAGTGTTATACAACATAAATAAAGATTAGTCATTTAACAAGCAAAGTATTAAATAGTGAACAAGATAACAAATACAAAACATGTTAGTATCAAACATTGAAGTCCATATTAAGTTTACACTATACTTATTCTTACACCATTAGTGTAACCTTTTCACTTTGACATAATAAACTTAGCTAGACATAATGAAAGAAAGAAACATAAATAAACAAAATAAGAGCATAAATAAGATAAGAGTTAACTAAGTAAAGGAAAGGAAATGAAAGACATAAACTTGATATTAATGAAAACAAAGCATAAACATTACAAAAAATACAAAGAGAGAAAGCAAGAGCATGATCTTGATCTGGAAACCAAGATGCCTAAATGCATGACAAATACCTCCTTTTATAAGCCAAAATTGGGAACTATTGATTTGATGACTAATTGATGAGTGGGTGACCAACTCTTGACTTGGTGACAATCCTTATTTTCTCTTGTCTGCCCAAAACGTCATTGATAATGTCAAAATTGGAGCCACTTGAAAACATAAAAGTTGTAGGAAATTATCTCAGCTTTCTTGTGTAAACAATTCAGCTCATTTCAACTTCTAGAACTCCAGATATGGCCAAAATACTGAATAGTGCTCGGGCTGGAGGGCAGATTCGGGCTTCTTTGTTGTTACAACAATTTGGACTTGAAAATGACCTTTTTAAATTTTGGACTCCATATGAAAGTTGTAGGCCTATGTCTTACCTTCCCATCCATATAACATAGACCTAAATCTGAGATTTATAGCTCCAGATATGACCCAATTACTAAACAGTGTTCCGGTTTGGATTGCACCGACATCTCTTTTCTAAGTTTGGCCATCTCTTTATCCTTTCAATTTCACTTCTTAAATTCATCAATCAATCCTTTCATTTATGTGATAGGACTGAATTTAAAATGAACATTTACCATAAATTAAAGGTATCTTATATTATTAGATATATTATTATAAAACATGCTTTAGTTAAGGAGTTATTGATACTTCAAGTGCAAAATGATGATATAAAACCTTGATAAAAATACACTTTTAAGTATCAATCAGGTAGCTTTTAGCCATAGACATAGACGAGTGATAATAAGAAAGAATCATAGTCAGGTGTCTTCTGTTGGAAAATCAGATCATTTCGAAAGAGCCAAAGAGACCATGCCACTGAGAAGAACAACATTAGCCACGCCTTCATCTGAAAATGACCATGCATTATGGAAGTCCATTGAGACCACAAATCTAAGAAGCTCTTTGGGTAACACCAAACTAAACCCCACCACTTAATAATTTTGAACCAAATGAGTCAATGCTTATGGCAGTGCAGCAGGATATGATCCACCGATTCTGCCTCCACTAGGTAGATAGGGCAATTTGATTCCGAGCTGATCAATATACCTCTTCGAACCAACATACATCGGGTGTTAATTCTGTTAATAATAGTCATCCAGCAAAAGATCTCTACCTTAGGAGGGACAATACCTTTCCAAATTCCAGCAAACGAGAAGGCATTATTTATTTAAGGCTTTGGACTTAACAATCCACAGGGAGATTTCACTAAAAATCTTCCTGAATTATTGTCCTTTCATATTAGTCTATCCTCTCCATCTTTGTCTATGTGTACTATCGATAAGATTGTATAAAGTTGATCAAGCAAACCAATGTTGCGCCCCCGTAGTGGACGTATCCAGGAAAAAACCCAAATCCACTCATACCCTTTCCACATTCCCATCTTAGCAATGCTAGCAGCTTTGTCATTGGATAATTGAAAAAGAGTATGGAAGTGCTCTGCTAAACAGTGGCTATTAAGCCAACAATCAAACCAAAACATAGTCTTTTTGCCATTTCCGATAAGAACCAGAGATTGCTTATTCACAATATCCTGCAGCTTATTATTTCTCACACAATGATTGACAATCCAGGACCATGTAGTTGCAGCTCCTGGAATAGGAGCTTGCAACAGCAGTTTAGAGCAATTGGTGTTGTGGATGCTTTTGATCACATCCTTTCACATATTTGATTCCTCCAACTCAAACCTCCATAACCATTTAAAGAGCAGAGTTGTGTTTTTGTCCTTTAAGGAACCAATCCCAAGACCACCCGCATGTTTTGGAAGAGTAACAATGGCCCAGCTGATATTGCATATTTTGTGCCTTTCCTCATTTCCAGACCAGAGGAAGGATCGAAGTTTCTGATCAATTTTGGAGGCTATCGTAGCAGGCATGGGGAACATAGAGAGGTAGTAGATGGGGAGATTGCTGAGCACAGATTTAATCAAGCACAAACGGCCCCCAATAGATAAGAACCTCCTTTCTATGAAGCCAACCGACAACTGATATTGCGCAAAATCGGATTCCACATTGTAGCTCCACCCAAGTTTCCACCGACGGGGAGCCCAAGATACATGAGAGGCTGCTGATCCTACTTGCATCTGAGAAGCTGAGCCGTGGAGTTACATGTATAAGCTGCTACACCCACACCCACAATGCTTCTTTTATAAAAATTGACCTTCAACCTCGATACAAGTTCAAAGCATAATAGGATACGTTTAATGTTCTGCATGCTATGTAAAGAGTCTAAACTGAACATAAGGGTGTTGTCTGCAAACTGTAGGTGAGATATGACAAGCCCTATATTACCGATGTTTATACCCGAAGTCAAACCCAAATCATAGCCACGCTGCAACATACAACTCAAGCCCTGGACTGCAATGTTGAAGAGAAACGGAGAGAGAGGGTCTCTTTGGCGTAGGCCTTTTGCTAAGCAAAATTCTTCCGTGGGAGACCCATTAACAAGCATAGACATTTTTGCCATTGATATGCATTGCATAATCCACCCTCGCCATCTACTGTCAAAGCCCATAGTAGCCATGATTTTATTAATATATTCCTATAACACCGAATCAAAAGCTTTATGAAAATCTAATTTGCAAAGATAAGCTTTACCTTTTTTCTTCTTGATGAAAGAAAGGATCTCATTTGCAATCAAAACGCTGTCTAAAATTTGCCTCTCTTTGATGAAAGCATTTTGATGATGAGAGATGACCTCTGGCATATCATGTTTCATCCTGGTTGCTAGAATCTTTGAGAAGATCTTGTATAGGCTGCCCATCAAACTAATAGGTCTGAAATCTGATAGCTTTTTAGCACCTTTAATCTTCGGAATAAGAATAACAAAGGTGCTATTGATACCTGCAGGAAGGAGATTAATCTTCGGAATAAGAGTAACAAAGGTGCTATTGATACCTGCAGGAAGGAGATTAGTCCGATAGAATTCATCAACCATCTGGATAATGTCCTCACCTATAATGTTCCATGCTTTCTTGATGAAAAGGAAGTTAATACCATCAGGACCTGGAGCTTTATTTCCATCACAATCCCGCACAGCTGCTGTAATCTCTTCTGCAGAAAATGGCAACTCAAGAGCAGCCGAGGATGAAGGCTTCAGCCTTGAGAATTCCAGGTTTGAACATGAAGCTCTAGGTCTGTTCTGGTGGGAGTATAGGTTGCGGAAAAAGTGAAAGACAACTAGCTTCACATCGATTGGTTTAGATAGGATCTGTCCATCAACCTTCAGGCATGCAAGCTGATTCTTTTTCTATCTTGTTGTTGCAGCTAAATGAAAGAATCGGGTATTTTTATCTCCAAGCTTACACCACTGAATTCTTGACTTCTGATGCCAGGCAGACTCTTGAGCTCTATACAGGATTTTGAGCGAGGAGGCAATGGAATTACTTCTAATCAGTTCATCAATAGTCAAGACCCTGCACTCATTTTGACGATCCATTGAGTCAGCTTCAAGTTCCAGTTCTTCAATTTTGTTATTCATGCTTCCCACAATAGCTTTACTCCACTGCCGACATCTCTCTTTCAACATCTTTAGAGCTGGGACCATATTCCTTGTGCCAGATTTTGAAACAGTGATTGAGCTCCAAAAGCTTTGAATCATAATCCTGAAATCAGACGCAAGCCACCAGCAATTCATGAAGCGGAAAGGTTTTAGGCCCCAATTTGTAAAGTCTAGCAACAGATGCAGAGGCCTTTGATCAGAAGAATATTTTGAGAGACCGAATAAAGTAGAGGATGGAAAAGCCGGCAACCAATCCCCCGATAAAAATATTCTATCAATACGGCTCGCCGCATTACCTCGAGACCATGTAAATTTTCTCCCTTTTAAGGAGAGCTCCATAAGATTACAACCATCAATGTAATTTTTAAATCTTGTCATGGAAGATGTTATTTGTGAGCCGCCTTTCCTATCTGATAGGAATAAAGTTTCATTAAAATCACCCGCAGGATACCACGGCTTGCTAACACTATCCCTGAATGTAACAAGATAAGTACACAGCTCATTCTTCAGGTTCCCAACATTCGGAGCATATACAAAAGAGACTAGGCAATCTAGATTGGACCGAGTGAAGGTGCCTTCAATATGCAAAATACGGCCATTCATAGCAATAGTACAGCTAGAGACACAAAAAAGATCCGGATTTCATTTACATAATATCCCCCCCGAAAGGCCTAATGAGGGAACTGCATACCAAGCCTAGGATGACGACCCCATATAGCAGTAATAGTGAAATCATTTAAAGTTTCCAATTTTGTTTTCAAAATACCCAGGATATGAAGATTAAATTTTCTACCAAGATTCCTCAAACATCTTGTTTTTTCTCTGCCCCCTAAGCCACACACATTCCATACAATTATACTACCATAGAAGTGATTACAGAGACCATAGCTTCAGACTATTTATGGAAGCAAATCACGTCTTCTTCCTTAGGATCCACTCTTCCTGCTCTCGGTCTAGGAATCCTTGCAGTGTCTGAGTCATGAGTGTGCTATCGTCATGCCCTTGGAGAATAGCTTTTCCAACTTCCCAGCAAGCAGTGGCTTCGGCCCAGTTATCAGAATGTGCAGGCTCATTTGCTTCATCACCAGCATTGGTGTCGGGTCTGTATCTTGAACTACTTGCCTCATCCTCACCAATCAATTCCTTACCAGCTTTGATAATAGCATTTCTATTCTTTATCCCATTATCAGAAATTGAGTATTCAACAATTACGGTCTCTGATTGCTTACCGCTGTGATTTCCCATTTGACGTGATTTCCTCCTTCTAAGAGATTGTGTTCTGCGTGTGACCTTCTTTGCTTTTTTTCTGTGGGATTTCCTGTTTCCTACTTCCAGAGCATGCTTTTTTTCTGTGGGATTTCCTGTTTCCTACTTCTAGAGCACCAAGCTCATATGGATCAGCAATAGGAGTGATGAAGGTTGTAAAAGATGGCCCAATGCTTGTTGAATCAAGATTGGTTTCCGGGCCTGTGCTTGAATATTTCTGCTTTTTCTTACGGCCCATCTTCTTTAGGAGTCCGCTGTCATAATCTATATGTTGATCCAGCCCATCCTTAGCAGTAAAGCAAGAAACTTGTTGCACAGCTACCTCTCTGCATGCAACTGAACCCCCCTCGACATATACGCAAGGTACCAAGGCTAACCGGTTATCGCCTTCGTACGTACTCTCAGGAGATAAAACAGCATGTCTGCAAATTTCAGTAATTTCTGGGTAGAGGTACAACGGTGAAACTTCAGACGTGGTGAGTGTGCTGGCAATCTGAGTTTGGGTGCCCAACAAACCGGTGAATTCAGATTCAAATTCGGGTCTTTGTTTTGTCTCTATGTGAGTCGTTGCTGCTCTATTAGTTTCCTCACAAAAATCATCTTCATCGTCATCGGATAGCACAGATGTTGAACACAATGATACATCCATGGAGTGTTTGACTGTTGTGAGAGAGGGGATAAACTCACCTTTGATTTCTTTCAAACTGACCTCAACCTGCACTACATCGAGCTGGAGCAACACTTGATCATGTAAAGGTTCCAGCTTTGTGGTTCGAATAGAACCCTAATACCTGATATGGACCCCTGACTAACACAGGAAGTGTCGTATCCTACAATATTTCCCCAGCTCTGAAGCAAAATATTGATACAGTTTCTGTTCCACCCTTCCATTGGCAAACCAAATATGGAGATCCAAGCAAATCTGTCATATGCTCTAGTCCTTGTTTCCCACTTTCTGAGATTGCTGAATAGAGAATGCAGCACAGATACTTTATTCCTTTGTTCTTGCACTGAGGCTAACTGATCCACATAGGTAATAATCACCTGGCTAGCTCCCAAATAACGAAAGCTCACAGCTTTGACACTTGATTTTAAAACCGTTGCCTCCATAGTTGCTACATCCACATTTGGCAAGATATTTCCCACTAAGCTCCTATGCAACCATTCCTTATCCTCATCCGTGGAGTTGTATTGTATCATTCTCCTCGTCTTTGTGACCATTTGTTGTGGTTTGGATGTGAGAACCTCAGCAAAGGATCTGTTATCTCTGAACATAAGTTGGGGTTTATGAGGGGATGCAGGTTTGGGTAAGGGTCTATGAGGTGATGTTGGCAGGGGAGGTTTAGAGGATTGAAGCTTAGCTGGGTTCACTCTTAACTTATAGGAATCGAACCAAACGTTACTGGCTTTGTCACAAAGATCAGACACAGGCAGGGGTGATAGTATTTCCACAAAACCAAAGCGTCGGCCAAGAACTGTTTTTCGTTTGGACAGAAACAGTTTGATAACCCGGCCAAACTTTCCGAAAGTCTTTTTCAGGTCTTGATATTCCACGCACGAGGGGAATCTCTCAAAGAACAGCTTAAGATGGTCTGTACCAGTAGGGGTATTGACATAAGATGCCGAGCTAAAAGTTTTTGTGGGGGGTTCATATGGAAGGATAGGGGAGGCGGCCTGGTTTGAAGGGAAAGTGACAGGATAATCTGTTGGATTTAGGTAAGGAGTTGTTATTGTGGGTGGTTGAGGTAGGGTCTGAAGATGTTGGTAAGGAGTTTTGTGGAGGTGTAAGATTGATGATGCGATGACGGGCATGGGGGGGTGGTTTTTGGTGAGGGGTGCAGAGGATGCAGACGGTGAAAGACTCAACATTTTTTCTATACATAAGCTATTTTTATCTATTAATCATTTTCCAGAATTGGGCTCACAGATTTAAGAGAAGGTGAAGGAAAAACAATGCTTTCATTAACGGGAACTATAAGGTGAAGTTAAACATGGTTGGTCTTTATCCGTCTCATAGCGCGGATCCATCGTTTTAAATTTGCTAAACTTATTTTTTTTTTAATTTTTTTTTAATTTTAGGATTTAATATTTAGTTAATTTTATCTAAGATTTCTAATTTATCTAGATTTGAACTAGATAGATAGTTCACGCTGTATCGCGGGATAAACTATTTTTTTTATTATAAAAAAAGATTTTATGCGAAACTTAGAATTAAAAAAAATTAGAAAATTAAGTTATTGAGTCAATCGAGTTTAATAATTTCAACTAATTTAATAATATTCAAAAAAAGATAATGACAACAAATAAACTGAATTAATAAAAAAAATTAACATCCAGGATATATAAAAACCATGATAAAAAACCATGATATATATAAGGACCATGATAAAAAAAAAATACGGACCCAATTTCTTCATTAAATTCTTTTTAATATTTTTTATCTTTGAATGGGTAGACAAGAAAATAAAAAAGGGTGGAGAAAAATAAATTCAGCTACTGCCTAATAGCGACACTTATGACAACATAAACTGGTCAGGACAAAGTGCTACCCTATAACACTTCGTCTAAGACAGTGGTTGGGTATTTTTAGATATCGAAGGAGGTGTTATGCATTGCCCAAATGACATGAACAACCTCCACAAGCTAACACGTTCTTATCCTGCACTGGTGACTTTTTTTTTTTGTTTTTATAAATATTAAAACACTCTTGACCCCACACAAAATTTACAAAAAAAAAAAATCCAGAGTGCAAAAGACGCCAATAACCCTAAAAATAAAAGTATTTGTTTTAAAATCCAAGAATATTTTGGTAATTTCATTGTGCTCAAGAAAAGGAAAAACCAAAAAAATCCATCTCCCAAAGTAAACCAAAATTCTGCTTCCAAAGGGATTTAGAACTTTACATTGTGTAATCAATAGAGAAAAAAACATACATACCCCTCATCAATTCTACAATACCAAATATTAAATATATCCTATGTAAAAGTCTAAAAATACCTTTAAAACTAGCCTTTATGTTTCTCTTTTTCAAGGATAATTTGATAAATTTATTATGTAAATCTACAGTGAATTGTGAGAAAAACTACATAATAACATTAACCTCTTTTAATATTTTTTTTTATATAATTTCAGCTCTAAATAAAGAATTTTACATGTTAAACATGGTTAGTTTTTATCAATTTAATATATTAACATCTTGATATGTTTTTATAAAACAATAACATCCAATCTCTCAGTCTCAATATTTAAAAACTTAATTTCCTAGTGCTTTTATATTTTTTTTTAAGATTACAAAATAATAATCTAATCATGACTGGGAGGGTGTCAAAAAAACTAGTTGATGCTCCTTGGCGTTAAGAAGCCATGGCCATCATCACCAAACCATGTGAACCCCCAAGACTGATTCATGTTTGTTAATCATGATTAGGCTTTTATACTAGAACCCAAACCAAAGCTAAGCGGTGGTGACTGAAACTTTAATGGGGAGAGGACCCACAGCTATAGGAAAAACTCGGCCCGTCAGTATTTTTTTTTTTTAGACAATTGAAAAAACTTTACTGTATATGCTATAATTATTAATAGAAATATGTTAATAAAATAATTCTGTTGACATATTTTTAGCAGATATTTTTTTTAACATGTATATTTTTTATTTGTAAAATCATCAAGTTTTTTTTATTGACAAAATTAGTGATAAAAGTTATACTAAAAGACTATAGTGAATTAATCGGTAAAATTTTCTTCGATAAAATAATAATCTTACATTAACAGAAAAATTTCATCAATAAAATTATTAAATATTATAGTGAAAATTTTTGATATACTAAAAATAATTTAAAATATATATATAATACATTAATTCATTAATATAAAATTCACTGCACTCAAAAAGATATTCAATTATGAATCTATTCAAATAATAACATCTTTGTCATTTTCTAGTCTAAAAATTCAACTAACTAGCCTTTGGATTATTACCTTTGACTGGTTGGAATTTAGATGGTGGAATGGCTAATTAATGATGAGCTTAATGATATTATATCTAGAAGTTTGCTAGACCCAATTGTATTTAGATTCATCAACAGAGTCAGACCCAATTGTATTTAGATTCAGCAACAGGGTCCGGAAATGATGGATGAATGTGGTACGTAGCTTTCCAAATCTATATATATTTGGACTTATTATATAGTTGAGTGTAAAAATATTAAATTTTTATCATACCTTTAATATTTTTAAACATGATTTTTTTTAAAAAATAACATATCTAAAACAGATACTAATCCATTAATATAAAACACATCACTGATTAAAAACGATATTCAGTTAATAATTTATTCGGTAAATAACATCTTTGGCATTATCTAGTCTAAAGATTCATCTAACTAGCTTTTGATTTATTACCTTTTAACTGGTTGGAATTTAGATGGTAAAATGGCCACTTGATGATCATTTGAAAGAAATGAAAGGGAAGATTCAACTACTCCCTTTATTTATCAATCTGAATGAATTGCTGCAACTCTTAATTAACTGAGTTTTAATAATTCATAAAACTTGTTTTGCTTGATTTATTTTTGAGTCAATATTATTTTTTTATAAATAAAATTAGATTATGTTTTGTTGATTTAGATTAACTTGTCTAATCTATAACTTAAATCTGGAATTGAGTCGAGTAGATTTAGTATATTTATAATTATTGTGTGTAAAATTCAATTTTTTTTTAATCGCATTTACAGGAATTGCTCAATGTGGGAGCAAGGGAATTTGCTATTTTAAGTGGAGGGCCAAGAGGTTGCCCACCAGCCAAGAGACTAAAGAAAGAACTCCGTGGTAATAAATGCGAAGAAGGATCCTTGACGACTTCCTGTTTAAAGGAAATTCTTTGACCAGCGGATGCGAATTGTAATCACTCTGTGACATCATCTCTTCATATTTATGATTTTTTAGAAAACATTTTTAATTTTTATAACCATTTTAATGAAATATATATTTTTTTAAAATTTATTTTTTATAAACTACAATTAAAAATGTTTTCTAAAAAATCATAAATATGAAGAGATGATGTCACAAAATATATATTTCATTAAAATGGTTATAAAATAAATTTTTTATGCAAAATAAATTATTTTAACTTCTGCTAAGTTAAAATTTGAAATGCAATTATAAATGAAAATCAGTATAAAAAACAGAGGTTATTTAATTAATAATAATACCTCATGGAAGTTTTCTTACACCTACCATCCTTTTAAATTTCATTTAATTAGTATAATTTTGAGAATTCAAATCTATTTAAAAATAAATAAATATCGATACCTTCAATTGTATAAATTCATACAGATTCACCTAACTAGCCTTTGTCTTATTGTCTGAATTGCTGTAACGTGTCCAAAGTGCCCAAATCAGAGTTGTCAACATGCAAGCATATGGTGTGACCTCTATGAATAAGTGGAATGGAAGAGCGAAGCGACATTGGGAACGGTAGGTAATGGCTGCATCAAAATTAACCTTCAATTTTCTTCTGCTCAATTTCCTTGCCAGCCTTCGCATCCCAGAAATCTCCCTATGTGATCGCTCTAGACAGCCAAAAAGACATGTTGCTATGTTCATATTTGGAGATTCAATCTTTGATGCTGGAAACGATAACTATATCAATCTCAGCGTTTCGGATAGAGCAAATTATTGGCCATATGGAGAAACCTTCTTCCACTTTCCTACTGGGAGATTCACCGATGGCCGTCTCATTGTCGACCTCATCGGTAAGTATTGGAAAAATATAATATGAATCATTTTTCGAAATTGTTGTTAAGTTTTTCGGTTAATTTAAATTTTCTTTTCTAATGGATGATTACATGCAGCAACAAAGATAGGTCAACCGTTCGTCCCCCCATATTTACAACCTGGTATTAATTTCACTAATGGAGTAAATTTCGCAAGTGGTGGAGCTGGTGTCTTTTATGAAACTGATCCTAAAGTGGTACGTGATTGTTAAATAATTATTTAGGTGTGATTTGAATATATAATTTATATTTTCCTTTTACACTCTCTCAAATAAAAATTATTTGAAATTTTGTATTTAATTTTTATCAAATACATAGAAATGATGAGTTTTGAACTCAAGACTATTTGATTATCAAGATTTTAATACCATGTTAAAGAACTATCTCAATCTAATAACTTAAGCGATTAGCTATTAGGTGAGATCTTAGTATATGATTTATATTATTTTTTAATAATAATAATTAAAAAAAAAACCACTTCACGGGTCTTGTAGGAATAGCTGATGTTTATGTACTTTTGTGCTTCAAAATCTTACCATTAATTTCCTTATCCCCAGATTAGTCTTGGCATGCAACTTAGCAACTTCAAGAACGTGGCCATTTCGATGGAGGAGCAGATTGGGGACAAAGAGGCAAAGAAACTGCTGAGCCAAGCAGTCTATGCGACTTCTGTTGGAGCCAATGATTACTCTTATTTTGTTGATAATTACCCTAATGCTACTCAGCTGGAGCGAGATGAATTTGTGAACAATATGGTGGGTAACGTGACAGATTTTGTAAAGGTAATAGCAATAAAGTTTCTTATAAATAGTAGTGTGTGCTCGTATAAAGGGTTACAAAACCTAGCTCAGTTAATCGATGATCCAATCGACAATTAGAAATTGAACCAAGTTAGTGGAAATTAACCTTATTAAACCTAGATAACCTGGCAGATGAACCTATAACTCTATTATAACTTGGTCAAAATTCCATTTCACCTTTTTTTTTAAATGGATGTTGTTTTAGTTTTTTTTCCCCTTAAAAACAGAAAGTCTTAAAACAAATCATTTTAGATTTAACCTGGTACCTAGGACTTTGCTTGTACCTGTATACATAAATCGATAAAAAAAACTGAAAATATTTCTTTATTCATTTAAGTGTATTGTGTGTAAAACTTAGCAAGTAATTATTTACATATTGAGATTCTTCGCATTTTTTTTTTCTTTTTCATTGTCGGCATTTGCAGGAATTGTACAATTTTGGTGCAAGGAAATTTGCTATTTTAAACGTAGGGCCAAGAGGTTGCCAACCAGCCGTAAGACAAAGCGAAGAACTCCGTGGTGATGGATGTGAAGAAGTATCATTACAGATGATAAAGAAGCATAACAGTGCTACATCTAAAGCCATCAAGGAATTGGAAAGTAAACTATCAGGATTCAAATACTCAATTCTAGACTTCTATACCATCCTTTTGGATATGATAAAGCACCCAAAGGATTACGGTAAGTACATATATTTTGATAATGTTAGGGTTTTAGTGAGGAAGCAAAGCAAGCGACACATTGTTTTCCACTCTTTATCTTTTGGTAATGCTCAAGTGTTACAATGCCGCATCATGAGACACAGTAATAAGTTTACATTGATTACTCTCTTTTAAGCATAGCATGGTTAAATGACTCAATCCATTTCTGATCCAGGCTTAAGTTGTGGATTAGGCGATTTGACTTTTAGGTTGACAGGCTGACATCTATTTTGAAATTTTATTTTAATTTTTTTTGAAATGAAGTTGTTTTTTTAACTCTAAAATGGGATTGTTTTAATAAAAAACAGTTTTCAAGTCAGGTAAATGAATCACTAAATTGACTAATCAAACAAGGTTTTAAGCAGTATGGACAACAATAACTTTAACATCAGATAAGCAGGTTGACAAGTTAATAGCTTGGTGTTTTCCACATCAAGAAATATGTTAAAATTGATTTATTGATAGTAAGAGTGTCGATAGATTGATCTATCATTTGGCATATTAACATGTTAATAGATCCATCAATGGATCCATTGTGATACTGAATGTCTCAAAATGAAGCAAAATCCTTTTATTTATAGTCAAGCCATTCTCCATGTTACACTGAACCAGTTTTGCTTTTCCTTCCACTGTCTCATCTTCTTCTATTTTTATTTTTTAAAAATATATTGAAAAGGCCATAAAACCAATAATTAATAGCCTAAATAAAATGCAAGGATATATAAAAAAAAAATAAAAAAACAGACTTAGAAAAAAAAGAAAAAAAAATTGATCTACTACAACAAACAACAAAGAAACTACCTAAGATTTCTTATTACACCATAATTTGATGCCTTCAGAAGATCTTAAGAGGTCATTTCCTGTATAAGTAAAGTTTAAATCCATAGTATGCAACCAAATGGTAACCCGATAAAGGATGATGGAGAAACAATCAAACAAGCTTATAGTTCCTTCCTCGAAAATAATTTTGTTCCTCAACAACCAAATACCCCAAGTAGTATTACTGGAAATTAGTCTCCAAGCTGATCTTTGAAATTTGTCTTGCACCATTTCGGGCCAGTGCAAAAGTAGCGAGTCAAGTGTTTTTGGTAAACAACATTGGATACCCCACCAATCCAAAACTTTCATCCAAACACTTCTAGAAAAGTTACAGTGCATAAAAAGGTGCTCTAAGTTTACCAAATCTGAGTTGCAAAAGACACATGTAGCTTGTGAGGCAGACAAAACATTCTGGTGATATAAAAAGCTCTTGTACTAACTTTGTCCTGGACTGCCAACTAGAGAAACACCTGAACTTTTGGAGGAGCCCCTTTAATCCAAACATTGGCTTTAAAAACTCTATCATTCGCAGAAGAGATATTATCAATTAGGGTGCAACAAAACTTAACTGAGAAGCTTCCATCAAAATTACATGGCCATATAAGTTTGTCATTTTTTTCTTGCCGAATTATCATTGTCTCCAGTATTGAGAGCAAATGATGATATTGTTGCTCTTCATAAGATAAGCTGTTCCTGCCCCAAACCAAATTCCATTATCAATGACCATTCACTCATTGAGCCATCTCATTAACCAAATCATTCTGAATAGTGAAAATTTGGTAAAGCCTAGGAAAATACTACGTAAAGTATTTGATCCTATCCACACGTCAGACCAAAAGAATGGAGGATCCATCTCCAATCATGAATTTAGAGTTTTCACGCTATACTAAGCCAATAACACTGCTTGAATCCAAGATCGACAAAACATCTTATATTTAAGGTATTTCTCGATATAATTTTTTTAAAAGATTTAATTAAAAATAAATGAAGTTTAGTGATAAAATAAATGGAGATAAAAATTTAAGGGGAAGAATCGGAAAAAACACTACTTAACCACAGCATATGAACAACATTTTTCTAAAATGTTTCTGTTTATTTATTAATATTAATTTTAATAAAAAGGCGAAATCAATTAATTGGTCTTACGAGCCATAAATACATGAAAGCTCAAGCTAATAGATAAAATTATCAAGAAAAAAAAAAACCAAACAACAACAACGCTGCTGAGATTGCTGTTGTCAACATGCGGGGGCTTCGCGAGGGAACATGGAGATCTAGGAAAACAGAAACTAAAATTTTTTTCCAGACTTTTGGCTTTGATTAATAAAAAATCTTAATCAGCTTTCTTTAACTAATTTGACAGTAGCTGTGACTGAGCTACAATTTCAGCCAACAACATCTTACAAAGCCTTGATCTGAGTAGGTCTAAGGCCTTGGAGATTCGAACCAATCCGAGTAATAATAGAATGATATATAATAACATTTCATCCACTGTGTTGAAAGTAAACAAAACATGGCAGCCCTCTAGTTTCCTAATCCGGTATGAGAGACCATCTACGTCAATGATAAGCTCTTCTATTTTGTCGATATCCATAGGTGAAAAGACTTCTTCTACATCACTTCTTTTCAGCCACTCGGAATCGCGTTAAGATGAAAAAAATAGTTGACTTATGTGTTTGATCCTTTTCAATTTTAAGTAAAATATAAGGGATTTCACCAAGTTTTCGGATCAATATAATGGATTGAGTTGAATTTGGCAAGCATGTTTTGTAGAGAAAAGCGCTCAAGGAGACTCAGACCAGCCATAGACTCATCTTTTAATCATATTTAACATGTAGCTTTTAGAGTGAGAAAAGTCTGATTTGACATTTAGTTTTTTTTTTTTTGGGTAGCCTTAACTACGAAAACAAGGGAACAAAGAAGAAATGTTTCATTATACTTTTTTTAAGTGTATAAAAATTAAATTATTTTTTTTTTTGAAGAAATGTTTCATTATACTTTTTTTAAGAGTATAAAAATTAAATTAATTTTTTTTAAAAAAATTCATTTTATATATTTATCTCTCTTTTCAATTATACACACACACACATGTATATATATAGTAAAATACCAACTAAACACAACACTTTGGTCTAGATCTTAAGAGTTCTACAAATGAAAAGGATGGAAAAAGTATTTGTTTTGGGAGTACAATATTTTATCTATTAATAATTTTCCAGAATTGGGCTCACAGATTTAAGAGGAGGTGAAGGAAAAACAATGCTTTCATTAACAGGAACTATAAGGTGAAGTTAAACATGGCTGGTCTTTATCCGTATCATAGCGCGGATCCATCGTTTTAAATTTGCTAAACTTATTTTTTTGAATTAGTTTTTTTTTTAAAAAATTTTAGGCTTTAATATTTAGTTAATTTGATCTGGAATTCCTAATTTATTTAGATTTGAACTAGATAGGTAGTTTGTGCTATGTTGTGGGCTGGACTATTTTTTTTTAATATAAAAAAAAGATTTTATGCGAAACTTAGGATTAAAAAAAAAATCAGAGAATCAGGTCATTAAATCAACCGAGTTTAATAATCTCAACTAATCTAATAATACTCAAAAAAATATAATGACAACAAATAAACTGAATTAATAAAAAAAATTAACATTCAGGATATATAAAAGCCATGATAAAAAAAATAAGGACCCAATTTCTTCATTAAATTCTTTTTAATTTTTTTTAAACTCGTCTTAGAACCCATTGATTTAAAAAAAAAAAAACATTTGACCAAAATAATGTTATTTTTACATATATGTAAAATAAAGAAATTGGTTGCTCGAGTAATCCTGGATGTAAAATAAAGAAATTGGTTGCTCGAGTTTACTCCAACCCATTTGATCTGTGACCTGAGACTTGCCTAGGATCGATCTCTGGGTCGAGTATAAAAACCATAATTAAAAGAACTAGGACACAACTTTCTTGTAATTTTTTTTAAAACCCCTTGAATATTTGTTTTAGGCTAAGTTAATCTGGGTAACCTTGACCAATCCACTTGATCTGTGACCCAGAACTTACCTAGGATCAATTTTTGAGTCGAGTTTAAAAACTAGAATTGAAAAAATAAGGATCAAATTTGACATTAAAATCAAATAAAATCAAACAATGATGGATGAATCTGAAAAAAAAAATCAATTAAGAAAATAAATGAAACCAAAAGAAATTATAATGAAAAAGAATGAGGACTAAATTAAAAAAAAATTAAATATAAAATTGAAAATAAAGTCAATTAGAAAAAGGGTGAAAAGCAAAATAAATATCAATTAAAAAAAAGATGACCAAATCTAACACAAAAATAAAATAAAATGATAAATGATGAAACTGAAAAAAAATCATAAGAATAATTTAAAGCAAATACAGAACAATAAAAAATACAAGGACCACAATTGAAATAATATAAAAGCTTAAGACATTTTTAATTTTTGGGTGGGTAGACAAGATAGAAAAAAAGGGTGGAGAAAAACAAATTCAGCTACCGCCTAATGGCGACACTTATGACAACATAAACTGGTCAGGATAAAATGCCGCCTTGCAACACTTCGCCTAAGACAGCGGTTGGGTATTTTTGGATACCGGAGGAGGTGTCATGCATTGCCCAAATGACATGAACAACCTCCACAAGCTAACGCGTTCTTATCCCGCAACGATGACTTCTTTTTTTGTTTTTATAAATATCAAAACACCCTTGACCCCACACAAAATTTACAAAAAAAAATAAAATCCAGAGTGCAAAAGACGCCAATAACCCTAAAAAAAAAGCATTTATTTTAAAATCTAAGGATATTTTGATAATTTCATTATGCTCAAGAAAAGGAAAAACCAAAAAAGTCCATCTCCCAAAGTAAACCAAAATTCTGCTTCCAAGGGTATTTAGAACTTTACATTGTGTAATAGAGAAAAAAACATGCATATCCCTCGCCAATTCTACAATACCAAATACTAAATATATCCCGTGTAAAAGTCTAAAAATACCTCTAAAACTAGCTTTTGTGTTTCTCTTTTCCAAGGATAATTTGATAGATTTATTATGCAAATCTACAATGAATTGTGAGAAAAACTATACAATAACACTAACCTCTTTTAATATATGTATATTTTTTATAATCTCAGCCCTAAATAAAGAATTTTACATGTTAAACATAGTTAATCTTTATTAATTTAATATAGTAACATCTCAATATTTTTTATAAAACAATAACATCCAATCTCTCAATCTCAATATTTAAAAACTTAATTTCCTAGTATTTTTATATATTTTTTAAGATTACAAAATAATAATCTAACCATGACCGGGAGGGTGTCAAAAAAACTAGTTGATGCTCCTCGGCGTTAAGAAGGCCATGGCCATCATCACCAAACCATGTGAACCCACAAGACTGATTCATGTTTGTTAATCATGATTAGGCTTTTATACCCGAACCCAAACCAAAACTAAGCGGTGGTGACTGAAATTTTAATGGGGAGAGGACCCACAGCTATAGGAAAAACTCGGCCCGTCAGCATTTCTTTTTAGAGAATTGAAAAAACTTTACTGTATATGCTATAATTATTGATAGAAATATGTCAATAAAATAATAAAATAATTCTGTTGACATATTTTTAACAAATATTTTTTTAACACATATTTTTTATTTGTAAAATCATCAAGTTTTTTTATTGACAGAATTAGTGATAAAAGTTATACTAAAAGACTCATTCTATTAGTGAATTAGTCGGTAAAATTTTCACTGATAAAATGATAATCTCACATTAACAGAAAAATTTCATCAATAAAATTATTAAATGTTGTACTGAAAATTTTTGATATACTAAAAATAATTTTTTTAAAAAATAACATATATAAAACATATTAATCCATTAATATAAAACTTACTACACTCAAAAGATATTCAATTATGAATCTATTCAGATAATAACATCTTTGGCATTATCTAGTCTAAAGATTCAACTAACTAGCCTTTAGATTATTACCTTTGATTGGTTGGAATGTAGACGGTGGAATGGCTAATTGATGATGAGGTTAATGATGTTCCATCTAGCAGTTTACTAGATCTATTTGTAATTAGGTTCAGCGTGTAACAAATTCCAGAAATGATAGCTGTGGTACATAGTTTTACAGATCTATATGTATTTAAGCAAAATATTGAATTATCATCATTCCTTTAATATTTTTAAACATAAATTTTTTTTAAAAATAACATATGTAAAACACACACTAATCTGTTAATATAAAACACATCACTGATTAAAAAAGATATTCAGTTAATAATCTATTCAGTAAATAACATCTTTGGCATTATCTAGTCTAAAGATTCATCTAACTAGCCTTTGATTTATTACCTTTTGACTGGTTGGAATTTAGATGGTGGAATGACCAGTTGATGATTATTTGAAAGAAATGAAAGGGAAGATTCAGCTACTCCCTTTCTTTATCAATCGGAATGAATTGCTGCAACTCTTAATTAACTGAGTTTTAATAATTCATTTTATGCTTTGGTTTATTTTTGAGTCAATATTATTTTTTTATAAATAAAATTAGATTATGTTTTGTTGATTTAGATTAACTTGTCTAATCTATAACTTAAATCTGGAATTGAGTCGAGTAGATTTAGTATATTTATAATTATTGTGTGTAAAATTCATTTTTTTTATCGCATTTACAGGAATTGCTCAATGTGGGAGCAAGGGAATTTGCTATTTTAAATGGAGGGCCAAGAGGTTGCCCACCAGCCAAGAGACTAAAGAAAGAACTCCGTGGTAATAAATGTGAAGAAGGATCCTTGACGACTTCCTGTTTAAAGGAAATTCTTTGACCAGCGGATGCGAATTGTAATCACTCTGTGACATCATCTCTTCATATTTATGATTTTTTAGAAAACATTTTTAATTGTAGTTTATAAAAAATAAATTTTAAAAAAATATATATTTCATTAAAATGGTTATAAAATAAATTTTTTATGCAAAATAAATTATCTTAACTTCTACTAAGTTAAAATTTGAAATGCAATTATAAATGAAAATCAGTATAAAAAACAGAGGTTATTTAATTAATAATAATACCTCATGGAAGTTTTCTTACACCTACCATCCTTTTAAATTTCATTTAATTAGTATAATTTTGAGAATTCAAATCTATTTAAAAATAAATAAATATCGATACCTTCAATTGTATAAATTCATACAGATTCACCTAACTAGCCTTTGTCTTATTGTCTGAATTGCTGTAACGTGACCAAAGTGCCCAAATCAGTGTTGTCAAAATGCAAGGATATGGTGTGACCTCTATGAATAAGTGGAATGGAAGAGCGAAGCGACATTGGGAACGGTAGGTAATGGCTGCATCAAAATTAACCTTCAATTTTCTTCTGCTCAATTTCCTTGCCAGCCTTCGCATCCCAGAAATCTCCCTATGTGATCGCTCTAGACAGCCAAAAAGACATGTTGCTATGTTCATATTTGGAGATTCAATCTTTGATGCAGGAAACAATAACTATATCAATCTCAGCGTTTCGGATAGAGCAAATTATTGGCCATATGGAGAAACCTTCTTCCACTTTCCTACTGGGAGATTCACCGATGGCCGTCTCATTGTCGACCTCATCGGTAAGTATTGGAAAAATATAATATGAATCTTTTTCGAAATTGTTGTTAAGTTTTTCGGTTAATTTAAATTTTCTTTTCTAATGGATGATTACATGCAGCAACAAAGATAGGTCAACCGTTCGTCCCCCCATATTTACAACCTGGTATTAATTTCACTAATGGAGTAAATTTCGCAAGTGGTGGAGCTGGTGTCTTTTATGAAACTGATCCTAAAGTGGTACGTGATTGTTAAATAATTATTTAGGTGTGATTTGAATATATAATTTATATATTTTTTTTATACTCTCTCAAATAAAAATTATTTGAAATCTTGTATCTAATTTTTATCAAATACATAGAAATAATGAGTTTTGAACTCAAGACTATTTGATCATCAAGATTTTAATACCATGTTAAAGAACCATCTCAATCTAATAACTTAAATTATTAGCTATTAGGTGAGATCTTAGTATATGATTTATATTATTTTTTAATAATAATAATTAAAAAAAAAAACCACTTCACGGGTCTTGTAGAAATAGCTGATGTTTATGTACTTTTGTGCTTCAAAATCTTACCATTAATTTCCTCATCCCCAGATTAGTCTTGGCATGCAACTTAGCAACTTCAAGAACGTGGCCATTTCGATGGAGGAGCAGCTTGGGGACAAAGAGGCAAATAAACGGCTGAGCCACGCAGTCTATGCGACTTGTGTTGGAGGCAATGATTACTCTCATTTTGTTGATAATTACCCCAATGCTACTCAGCTGGAGCAAGATGAATTTGTGAAGAATTTGGTGGGTAACTTGACAGATTTTGTAAAGGTAATATCAATAAAATTTCTTATAAACAGTGTGTGTGCTTATATAAAGAGTTACTAAACCTAGCTTAGTTGATTGACCTATTATTGATTAGTTGATTTAGAACTTGAATAAGTTAATGAAAATTAACTACATCAAATCTAAATAACCCGTCAAATGTTATATATATATATATATATTAAAATGAATATTGCTTTAGTTTTTTTGAAAGAAAATCTTATTAAAACAAATCATTTTAGATTTATCCTGGTACCTAGGACTTTGCTTGTATTTATATACATAAATCAATAAAAAAAAACTGAAAATATCACGTGTATTGCGTGTAAAATTTAACAAGTAATTATTTACATATTGAGCTACTTCATTTTTGTTTTATTTTTCATTGTCGGCATTCGCAGGAATTGTACACTTTTGGAGCAAGGAAATTTGCTATTTTAAATGTAGGGCCAAGAGGTTGCCTGCCAGCCATAAGACAAAGCAAAGAACTCCGTGGTGATGAATGTGATGAAGTATCATTAGACATGATAAAGAAGCATAACAGTGCTGCATCTAAAGCCATCAAGGAATTGGAAAGCAAACTTTCAGGATTCAAATACTCAATTCTAGACTTCTATACCATCCTTTATGATATGATAAAGGACCCAAAGGCTTACGGTAAGTACATAGATTTTGATAATATATTAGGGTTTTAGTGAGGAAGCAACGCAAGCTACACATTGTCTTCCACTCTTTATCGTTTGGTGATGCTCAAGTGTTACAATGCCACATCATGAGACACACTAAAAAGTTTACATTGATTAGTCTCTTTTTAAGTATAGTTACATGACTCAACCCGGGATATAATCCAGGTTTAAGTTGTGGGTTAGATGATTTGATCCTTAGGTTGATAGGTTGATATTGATTTTGACTTTGATTTTTTTAATTTTTTTTTGAAACCCAGTTGTTTTTTAACTATAAAATGGAGTTGTTTTAATTAAAAAAACAATTTGATATGAACCCAGTTCAAGTTAGGTAAAGAATCATCAAATATCCACCAATCAAACAACGTTTTAAAACTATGATTTTAAAACAATCTGTACATCAATAACTGTATCATCATATTTTAGATGTAAGCAGGTTGACAAGTTAATAACTTGGTGTTTCCTTTTTGTTTTCAATCTCGTCTTTGTTGTTCGTGGTGGAAAGGATTCAAGGAATCAAGATATTCTTGTTGTGGCTATGGAATGTATAACGCAGCACATTGTGGAATAGAGCCATATACACTATGCAAAAATCCAAGTGAATATCTATTCTTCGATGGATGGCATCCTACTGAGCATGGTTATTGGATTCTAGCTGATCTGTTTTGGAATGGCAAACCAAGTATCGCAGTCCCATATAATTTAAGACAACTATTTGATCTTGAATCTACACCCATCATTTTATCAGAAGAATATGAAGTTCCTCATGATGAATAATTTTCCTTATATATATATATTTGTGAGCAGTGTGTTTAAGGTTAACTGTTTTATTATATAGATCTATTAATAGTGAAAATTGGAAAATGAAACACAAAATCCTTGTATTTATAGTCAAACCATTCTCCATGTTACACTAACCAATTTTGCTTCTCCTTCCACTGTCTCCTCTTAATTGCTCTAACTCAAAGCCCTAGAAATAAACATAGTCTCTCTTCCCATTCTTACTACTTACCCTTGGAAATAAACATTGTCTCTCTTCCCTTTCTTACTACTTAGCTTCACACCCATACACACACAGACACTCCTTGTTTGTTTATCTTAATTTCTCTGTAGATTCACAGGAAAAGATGGCGAATAACACAGCAAAAATGTGGTAAACATGAAAGAAAAAGAAAATAAAAATTAACCAAGCAAACAATATCATTGCGATGTCTCTTCCTTATTATTTATGATTATTTATTGAATTAGAAAACTTCCTTTACCACTTGTCACACTCCTGATTCCAGTTTTCTGTATCATTGCTAAAATAGATGCCATCTTCCTAGCTTGACCGACCACAAGCAAAGATGTTCGCGTCTGGAGTCTGCCTGGAATCTGGATTTGCTGCTTGGAATCTGCCTCTGGTTGCCGATTTAACGATGCTGCAAATCCTTCCACAAGGACTCGTTCCACTGACCTTGCTCCTGGAATTTCTTCTGACGTGACTTTGCGGGGAGTTTCTGCTTGCTTCTGCCGCGCCTTTGCTGCTCTATAGCACGTAATCATTTCTTAATCTACTAACTTGGTTCTCATCAAATTAATGAACAGGGCACCACGTCTTCGTCTTTTTTATTATGAACTAAACCCATGTCTTCTAAACTGGATCTTGTCATCACGAGTTCTTGATTGGATCTTTCGAAGCTTGAATATGGAAAAATCCCATCATCAACTTTGATATTTAGCATACGAGAAAACACATCACTGAAAGATGTCCTCCTACTTACGAAGCAACGAATAACATCTAATCTTTGCTTTTCAGCAGTGGCTTTGTCAAGGTGACTAAGTCTGCCAAAAGAAGAACAAATTAACTTTCTCAAAGAAATTTATATTCCATGCCTGGATTAAGCCAACAACATCTTTCAAAGCCCTGCTCTGAGTGGGTCTAAGGCCTTGGAGATTCGAACCAATCCAAGTAATGATAGAATGATAATAACATATCATCCACTGTGTTGAAAGTAAACAAAACATGGCAGCCCTCTAGTTTCCTAATCCGGTATGAGAGACCATCTACGTCAATGATAAGCTCTTCTATTTTGTCGATATCAATAGGTGAAAAGACGACTTCTACATCACTTCTTTTCAGCCACTCAGAGTTGCGTTAAGATGAAAAAAATAATTGACTTGTGTGTTTGATCCTTTTCAATTTTAAGCAAAATATAAGGGATTTCACCAAGTTTTCGGATCAGTATAATGGATTGAGTTGAATTTGGCAAGCATGTTTTGTAAAGAAAAGCGCTCGAGGAGACTGAGACCACTAATGTTTTACTCATATTTAACATGTAGCTTTTAGAGTGAAAAAAGTGTGATTTGACTTTAGTTTTTTTTTTTTTTTGGTAGCCTTGACAACGAAAACAATGGAACAAAGAAGAAATGTTTCATTATTATTTTTTTTAAGTGTATAAAAATTAAATTTAAAATTATTTTAAAAAATTCATTTTGTATTTTTATCTCTCTTTTCAATTAAATATTTTTTATTTTTTATTTACATATTTTTTTTATCTTAAAATACCAACTAAACACAAAACAATGATTTAGATCATAAAAGTTCTACAAATGAAAAGGATGGAAAGGTATTTGTTTTGGGAGCACAATATTTTATCTATTAATCATGTTCCACTTGGGCTCACAGATTTAAGAGAAGCTGTAGGAAAAACAATGGTTTCATTAACAGGAACTATTTTGTGTGTGAAACTACTGTAGATATACCTTGATTCATTGTAGCTTATAATAGTGAATTTCCATTTTTTCTCCTTCAACTTTCAATTTATTAAAAATTAAATTTAAAAAAAAAAACAGTAATTTGAGTTGCATCATAATGCAGGTCATTATTTTAAGTTTACTCTAGTTATTTTTTTGGATTTTTTTTTAATTGAATATCTTTTTTTTTCATTTTAAACCTTCAATATTTGGTTAATTTAATTTAAGATTCTTAATTTGTTTTGATTTAAATTTCATGGTGTTGTCATAAGCTCAAACTCTAGATTAAGAGTTTCATGGATTAAAAATGGTTGGTCTTCATATGCATCATAACGTGAGTGACCATTTTAAATTTGCTCAAGTCATTTTTTTGGATTATTTTTTTAATTGAATGTTTTTTTATTTTCCTTTAATATATGGTTAGTTTGATTTGAGGTTCCTAATTTGTCTAATTTTGAACTAGATATAGATGGCTCGTGCTACACCGCTAGCCGGACTATTTTTTTTTAATGTAAAAAAAGACTATGTGAAACTTGGGATTTAAAAAAAATCAGAGAATTGGGTTATTGAGTCAATCATGTTTGATAATCTCAACTAATTTAAAAATACTCAAAAAAAGATTATGATAGCAAATAAACCGAATTAATAAAAAAAATTGACATCCAGGATGTAAAAACCATGATCAAAAGAATAAGGACCCAATTTTTTCATTAAATTCTATTTTATTTTTTAAAAACTTGTCTTAAAACCCATTGATTTTTTTTTTTGTAAATTTTTGACCAAAATAATGCCATTTTTACATATTTGTAAAATAAAGAAATTGGTTGCTCAAGTAACTTTGACCAACCCACCCGACCTATGACCTAGTATGTAACCAAGATCACTTTCCAGGTCGGGTATAAAAACCATAATTTAAAAAAAATAAGGACACAACTTCCTTGTAATTTTTTTTAAACCCGTTGAATATATTTTTTTAGGCTAAGTTAATTTGGGTAACCTTGACTAATTCATTTGATCTATAACCCAGGACTTGCCTGAGGTTAATCATTGGGTCGAGTTTAAAAATTAGAATTGAAAAAATAAGTATCAAATTTAACATTAAAATCAAATAAAATCAAACAATGATGGATGAATTTGAAAAAAATTAATTAAAAAAATAAATGAAACCAAAAGAAATTATAATGAAAAGAATAAGGACCAAATTAAAAAAAAAAACAAAAATCAAGCATGAAATTAAAAAGAAAATCAATTAGAAGAAGGGTGAAAAGCAAAATAAATATCAATTCAAAGAAAAAAGAATCAAATCTAACATAAAAATAAAATAAAATAATAAAGGATGAAATTTAAAAAAATCATAAAAAAATTAAAGCAAATATAAAACAATAAAAAATATGAGGACCGCAATTGAAATAATACATAAGGTTAAGACATTTTTGAACTTTGGGTGGGTGGAGGAGAGAGAAAAGAGAGTGAATAAAAACAAATTTAATCATCACCTAATAGTAGCACTTATGATAACACGTGCCAACCAGTACAAAGCGTCGCCCTATGACATTTAGTTTGAGATAACAGTGAAATATTTTTTGATATTAGATGAAATGTCATGTGCCGCTTAAATAATTCAGACAACCTCCATACGTTGACATATTCTTATCCCATGTCAATTTTTCTTATATATATAAATATCAAAACATCTTTGACCTCACATAAAAAAAAAAAATTAAAAAAAAAACTAAGAATGTAGAAGATGCCATTAATCCTAAAAACAAAAGCATTTGTTTTAAAATCCAAGAATACTTTGGTAATCTTATTATGCTCAAGAAAAGAAAGCACCAAAAAAGTCTTTCAATGTAAACCAAAATTCAGAACTTTACATTGTGCAATCAATCATGAAAAAAACCCATATATATCCCTCATCAATTCTACAATATCAAACATGTATAAAAGTTCAAAAATACCTCCAAAGCTTGCCTTCATGTTTCTCTCTTTCAAGAACAATTTGGTAAATTTACTATGAAAATCCATAATGAATAGTGAGAAAAACTACGGCAAAACACTAACGTTTTTGAGTATTTTTTATGATTTCCTGGTATTGTCTAAAGATCGTGCTCTAGATCTCGAATTTTACATATTAAACATGGTTAATCTTTATCAATTCAATATATTAACATCTAACATCCAATATCCCAGTCTCAATATTTAAAACTTAACTTCGTGGTACTTTTTATATATATATTTTTTAAGATTACATACATGACCGGGAGGAAGTCAAAAAAACTAGTTGATGCTACTTGGCGTTAAGAAGGCCATGGCCATCATCAACAAACCATGTGAACCCACAAGACTGATTCACGTTTGTTAATCATGATTAGGCTTTTATGCTGGAACCCAAACCCAATCTAAGCGGTGGCGACTGATATTTTAAAGGGGAGGGGAGCCACAGATACAGGATGGTGATGATCAGCTATACATCTACATCCAAGATGCCTGGTTCTCGAACACAAGACACCCATAGAAAAATTTCCTTACAAATATGAAGTCTTCCAACAATAATCATCAAAATTAGAGACACAAATAGATTTGGAAACAAAAGAAAAATGAAAAGCTGCTATACATGAAGAAGGCTACTCATCAAAATATACAAGTAAAATTCCCACACAAGGTTAAATTTCCAGAGACACCACCACCTATTTCAAACCGGTTCAAGCCCTTGACTAATCTCTTCAGTACAACAATGCACTGAAAATAAAAAATGAAAAAATGGGCACCAGCAACTCCAACTCACCACCACGATTGCCTGCGTCAAAACATTGATACGGATATGTCAGAAACAAAGGGGGAATGGAAAGTAAAAAGCCGCTGCTGTTCAAGAAAAGCGCTGTCACATTTGAAGCTAATATCTTTATGATGAATAATCTTATATTATGGCTGGCGAACTAATATGTGATCCAACAATCAGCATGCTATTACAAATGCCTATGAATTGCATAGGGCAATGGTACACACCAGGGTTTTTGATTTGTGATGTTGGCAAGGCAGGCAAGGACATCTCTGCAAAATTAAGTGGGAGCCATTAAAACAAGAACTAAAGAACAAACTGCCTGCGTGTGTGTGTGTAAATATTTGTTCAGGCTCTTTTAGAAACATGAACAGCAGCTAATATCTGGTTCTTTCTTGAGTAGTTGAACATTTACCTGGGGCACAAAGAGACAAGGTTGAAATGGAGGATGATGAAGGCCATGGAGCTTCAATGTTGTCATTCAAGTCACATGTAAAGCTGAACCCTGTTGAATTGTCCAATATAACATCGGGAGGCAAGCTACGAAGTAGACACCCTATAATTGAATGGAAAAGAAAATTCAATGAACAATAGTAATAATTATTATAACAATAAAGAGATAGCAATCTGATTTCTTTCCAGGCTGCAAAAGGGGAAAGTTTCTTTACAAGCTCTAAGCAGCACTTTCTTTTTGCTGTCAGATGAACAAAACCTTATTACCTTTCTCAAACAAATAGGAAAATAACACACCTATCCTTTCCCTAGGCCTTAGTAAGATATCACCTCACAGTGCAAGATAACCGATGTTCTTTTACTTACATATGCTACTTGGCAACAAAGGTGTTTTTATCAAGCATCCTAAATACACAAATAAAACCAAGACTACCAGGAAGCCAACTGCCAGGTTCAGGTGGGAGATTTTCATGTGATATAGAAAGCATGCCCTGCAACCTTTTCACACTTTCAGCACTGGACATCCATATGTTTCCAAGAACTCTTACTGTAACCTCCAAATATAATATCAGCATACAAGCTATATTGCTCTGAGAGAGAGAGAGAGGCAAACCTTGTTGTCTGTATGCTGCTTTGCATCCACCAACACATAAATCCACACACAAACACACACAAAAGTACACGTATCAGATGGAATAGATGATGAAATGAAGTGAAAAGTTTACAGGAATGATAATGAACTGAGAAAATAAACCTTGGATGCTAAAATCTTTCAAGTCAATGTCACAAAGCTCATACACATTTGTCATGACCCCACCTTGTCGTAGCTTGGACCCCAAAACTGTTGCACAAA